ATAAATAAATAAAAATTTAAAATATATTTTTACCACCATAGGATTAATACATGTTATTTGTACATCACTATAAGATTAGTAAGTTGCTTGTATCAAACTTCCCATGGCATAAAAGACGAAGCCTCAGGCTGCTCTTCAGCTAGGTCTTCTGGCTGCTTGCTTGTGGACTCTGCCCTGAGCACTGCCCTTCGCAGAGCTGCTGCTTGAGGTCTGCAATTGTCTGTGACTGTCATTCTGCCTGTCCAGAACGCCCTGTTTGGCTCCTCAGCTACACTGACCTCTAGATCGCTGTGAGTTCCAGTGCTGCCTGTTGGACACCCCCATGTTCTCACAGAGTGCTGGCTGAGTGGAAGAAAGATTCTGTGCCGCTGGAATTTCCCCTGGCTTCCAGCCTATGCCATGTGTAAGCTCCCCTCTGTCGTGCCGTGAATGTGACAAATGCTCAATTGTTGCATTCAGCAGATTGCGCGACACTTAGGATCTTTGTTGGCCAGACACACTGACTCCCTCCAGCTGCTCTGAGCCCCAAGCTGTCCTAACTCAGAGGCCTCCTGGCCTTGCGAGTGGCCTCTGTGTCCACCGGAAATACCCGTGGGTGCCAGAAATGATATGGGAAAAGGGAAACATGGAAGGAAGGAGCATCCCAGTCTTAAAACAATGATAAGGGCCAGCAGTTACGGTGGAAATAGAGAGGAAAAGACTAAAGGAAGACTTTAAAAGGTAAAATTCCACAGGCCTATTTCACTTTTCTGATACTGCATAACACACATTCCCAAAGCAGTGACCATGACTTCTTTAATTCTTCACCAGTCTGTCAGTTGAGCAGGACCAACCAGGCAGTTCTCATTACGGCCTCTCAGGAAGGTTGGTAGAGGCACAGGGGCTGGAGCCGTGTAGAGGCCCATTTCTAGGATGGCTCCCCCAAGACTAGGAGGTAACACCAGCTACACTTGGGGAGCAGCCAGACCAAAAACTTACGCTCACTCTCATGCTGGAGGGTCCTTGCAGCATGGGCTCTCAGAATGGTGGCTGGTTTCAGGAGGGATGACTAAGAGACTCAGCAGAACCCTCGAGGTATGTTAAGACATAGCCTCAGGAGTTGCACAACATCACTTCTGCCATTAAACAAGCCACTTAAGCAAGCAGCGCCACCCCAGAGACAGAGTCAAGGAGAAGGGAAATAAATTTCATCTCAGAGTCCGGCCTTGCGGCACACACCTACAATCCCAGCACTCTGGGAGGCTGAAGCAGGAGGATCGCCAAGTTTCAGCCAATTCTAGGCAACTTATCAATTTAGTGAGACACTGTCCCAATATAAAAACTAAACAGGGGGATGGGAATGTAACTCAGTATGAAGGCTCTGGGTTCAATTCCCAGTACAAAAAAAAAAAAATCCAACTCAGTAGGAAGTGACAAGATAATTTTGGCCATTTGTTTTCTGCCACTGAGCCTCAATATAAGACCAGGAATAATGGAGGTGAAGGAATCCAGAGTTACCCTCAGTATGTGATACAGAACAGCTAAGGCATGAGGGTCGTGAGTTCAGACTCAAATTGGGCATGAACGAGGCTGTCTCAAAATAAAAACTATAAAAAGGCCTAGGATGTAGCTTAGGGCGAAGGATATAATCCTCAGTACCACAAAGGAAAAGTGGGTAAGGAAAGGAAAGGGAAAAACACCTCCCTAGAGACTTAAACTGAGTTTCTCTTATTTTTGATACTTGGAAGAAAAGCTGTTATGCCACTTGGTCACTATCTTTGCCTGTAGGCCTTTCATTGCATACGTTAGCCAGTGACAAACTGCCTCTTTAAATGGCCACTTTGAAGTCTCAAGATTTGAAGACTTGTCCTTCCAGAAGATGGCCCTAGGAGAACCACACTAAGGTGTGACTTCTGCTAGTTGCCACCTGTAATTTACTGAACTTGATTGACTGACTGATTGAATCGGGAATTGAAAGCTAGGGTCTTCACACTACACTGCAGTACATCCTCAGGCTTTTTAAATTTTATTTTGAGATAAGGACTCACTAAATTGCCCAGGCTGGACTTCAACGTATGACCCTCTGGCCTCGGCCTCCGCGCCACCACGCCCCGCTCTGACCAGCTCTCGCTAGCCCGGCACAGGCGCCGCCAACACCCCACCCCACCCCCCATTCACCACCCGAAACTCTTGACTGCAGGTACGATTCTGAGCAAATGCAGCAAGGCTGCACGGAGCGAACGAGAAATCCCGGTCGGCTGCGAGGGAAGGGGAGCCCAGCTCCAACCGCGGTTTATACCCGCGCCCGTGCGCAGCCCCGCAGCTAGAACCCCAGCCGGGCTCAGCCTGGGACTGAACCCAGTCTCCGCTCCGGCTCCACCACAGCGCTGGTGCAGAAGCCCGCCGGAAGTGCCTGAATGCGCGATTCGTGGAAAGCCTGAGGATAGGGGTTCCCATTGGCCAGTGAGCCAGAAAGCCCCGTTGGTAGAAGGCCGGAGAACGGGTATTCCCATTGGCCAAAGGGCAAAACGTCCCGTTGGTGGAAGGCCCAGAGGGTAGAGGTTCCCATTGGTCCAACACCGCACCGGGTGGCCTTCTGGGAGTTGTAGGCGCAGCATTCCCCGCGCCGCCGCCATTGTCCGGCGGCCGCTGGAGCCAGTGGTTTCTTTAGTAGGGGCGACTATCTGGCCTGGGAATTGCGTCGGGCTCCAGCGCTCCCCGCGAGAACCCAGGATGGACCCCGAGGACCACGTGGCGATCGTGGCAATGAGCGCTCGCCCGCCGGTGGAACGGCTGCAGGTAACAAGAACAATGACGGCGGCGACAGCCCCGGGCCCAGGTCCCCGAGCGGAGGGGAGGCTGCGCGGCGGGGCCTCTCCCTGCCTGGGTCCTTCCTGTGGCCGTCCCTCCCGCCCACCGCGGCGGCCGACTGTGGCTAACGCCGGGCGGCTCAGGGACGGACCTTTCGCCAACGGGGCGTGGCGCGCGGCGTGGCGTGACTCGAGGAGCTGCCCTGGCGCCCGGGGAAGCAGTCGCCCAGGGCGACCGTGGGAGTCGGGGTCTGCGCCGGGCCCCTCGGCGATAGCCAGTGTGGCTAGAGCGACTGCCGGGTCACTTCATCAGAGCTCTGCGCTTGGGACGAAACCGCGGCTGCAGCTGCTCTCCGTAAAACGCTGCCTCTGTGTAGCAAGAGCCAAAAACAATTTGGTTGTCCTCGAATTCGGCAACTTTGAAATTCTGTTTTATAGGGCCGGGGATTTAGCTCCTTGGTTCCGCCACCTGCCTCCAAAGCCCAAGTCCTGAATTTGATTCCCAGTACCAAAAAAAAAAGTATTGAAATTCTATTTTCTTGTAGTTTCTTTATAAATGTTTTCCTTACTGCAGATTTGGTACTCCGAGTGAAACTACTGATAATTTAAATTGTAAATTTTCATGTATGTGTTATTTCCAATTTGCATGAAATCTAATCTCTCAGTAGTTTGTTTTTGACAAGGAATTAAGTGGTAAGAAAGGGTTGCTGCTTGTTGCTATGTAACAGCCTTTAAAAATGCAGTGACCTGGGCTGGGGATTTAGCTCAGTGGTTCCGCCGCCTGCCTCGAAAGCACAAGGACCCGAGTTTGATTCTCGGTACCAAAAAAAAAAAAAAAAAAAAATGCAGTGACCTGAAACAATAATAACTATTATTTCACAGTTTGTGATAGGTAGGAACCCTGGAATGACTCAACTGCTGGCCCAAGCTCCTTAGTTTACAGTCAAGATGTCAACCCACCTGGACGTGGTGCCACATGACTGTAATCCCAGTTAATTGGGAGGTTCAGACAGGAGAATCACAAATTCGAGGTCACCATGGGCAACACAGCATGACCTTGTCTGAAAATAAAATATAAAAAGAGGGAGGTAGCTCAGAGAGTGCCTGCCTGGTGTGTACAAGCGCCTGGGTTCAACTCTCCAAAACAAGTCACCCTAGCCATGGGTCGGGTAGAGGATCCACCTTCAAGACAGTTCACTCAGCCGAGTGCAGTGGCACATGCTTTGTAATACCAGCGCTCTGGGAGGCTGAGACAGGAGGATCACAAGTTTGAACCTAGCCTGGAGAATTTAGCAACTTAGCAAGACCCTGTCTCAAAAAGAGTTGAGGATGTAGCTCACTGCAAAGGCTCTGGTTGACTCGATGACTAGAGGATCCACCTCCAGGACACTCATTCTCACTCCTGTGGCTGCTGGTGAGAGGACTCTTTCCATTGTGGGCCTCTCTGTGGAACTGCTTGAGTGTCCTCACATGGGCTCTGGCTTCCCACAGAATGGGGAAGGGTGAGGTGGGAGGCACATCCTGACTGGACTCAGAATTCATGCTATCTTCTCCACGGTGTTCTTCTACAGTTACATAGGTGCACCCTACTCAGCAGGAGCCGGCCACCACAAGAACCAGGTCCAGAAGTGTATGGGGCCAACGATTTAGCTCAGTGGTGCCACGCCTGCCTCAAAAGTGCAAAGTCCTGAGTTTGATCCCCAGTACAAAAAAAATAAAAAAGAAAGAAAGTATAGGGCTGTCAGGTCCAGTATCTTAGTTTCTTGTGGCATTCTCAACAAATCACTATAAACTTGGTGACTTGAGACAACACACATTTTGTCTAGAAATGAGAAATCTGGCATGAGTCTCACTGTTCCTTTATTCCTTGCCTTTTCCAGCTAAGAGCTATAGACCTGGCACTCCTTGCCAGTTGGTCTTTTGTCCATCTTCAAAGCCAGCACTATAGCATCTTGCTTCAGCGTCCATTGCTTTCTGTCTTCTACAGTCAAACCTTTTCTGCATACCTCTTATAAGAATATTTGTGATTGGTTTTTGTTTATTTTTGGGTTTTGGTTTTAGTTTTTTGAGACAGGATCTTGCTATATAGTTCAGGCTAGCCTTGAACTCACTATGTAGCCCAGGCTGGTCTCAAACTTGCAGCAATCCTCCTGCCTCAGCCTCGCAAGTGCGGGACTACAAGTGTGTGCCACCATGCCTGGCTATGATTGTATTTATAGCGCAACTGGATAATTTCTTCATTTTAAAATCCTAATCACATCTGCAAAGTCCTTTTCCCTGTATACCAATATTTGCAGGTTCTGGGAACTGTGACCTAGATACTATATCTTTGGGGGGGCCGTTATTTTGCCTGCCATAGGCAGGCTGAGGGATCGTCCTCTAGTCCAGCAATGGCGAACTGTTAGCACATGTGCTGCAGCGGGCACATAGAACCTTCTCTGTCGATACTCGAGCCATGTCACCCCAGCATCGCCCCAGCAGCCAAGCATCAGATAACAGCACACACAGAGGCAGTGTCAGCACTTTGCAATAAGTATGTGGTTTTGGGTTGCAGTTTGAGCGCTCAGTCTCTAGGAGGTTCACCATCATTGCTCTGGCCTATCTGAAATTGTGGAGGAGACATTCAGGTGTTTTAAGTAGGACTGGCCTGGGATTGGAGGTGAGAGCCGAGCGAGAGCCACCCTCAGGCATCTGAGGGATGGACGTAGGAGAAATAGTGGGCTATTGTTGGGTGGTCTGGCCAGCAGTGAGGGTTGGCGTGGGGGACAGATCTGCACATCCCATTTCCCGGCCCCAGGCGTGCAGAGCAGGAGGGCTGCAGGGAGACCCACAGGACAGCGGGGCCAGTGCTGGAAGGCTCATGTGATACCACTGAGGGGTGGGTCTGTCTCATGGCCTGAATAGACAAGTACTGCGTGGCCTCTGGTCTGTCCCCCATGGCCCAGGGAAAGTGGGCAGGGGTGGCAGGCGGGAGGGAGAGGCACAGGAAGTGTGTATCAGGGTGGCAGGCCTCAACTGGAAGATGAGGACACGGGTAACAGCAGAGACCTCTGTTCCCAGCCAAAGGCTTGTGCGTGTTTCCTGTCAGAGCCACCCAGAATTTCTTTAGCATGTTTAAATCTACTTTTGTTTTTCTTTAAAGGAAATACTTTTTTAAAATTGAAGATTTTGTTTGTGTTGATTTGTATTTCTCTGGTGACTAATTTTCAATATCTTTTCCTGTGCTTATTTGCCATTTTTATATTTTTTTTAATATTTTTCTTGAAACAATGTCTCCAGATTCTTGCACATTTTAATTGGGTTGTATTTTTATTACTGAGTTGTAAGAGTTCTTTAAATATTGTAGTTATAAATCTCTTATCAGGTGTGTGATTTGCAGTTGTGTCTTTTTACTCTAAGAGTGTCCATTGAATCACAATACCATTTTGTGTTTTTTTGTTGTTGATTTTTGGGGGGTTTTTGGTACCAGGGATCGAACTCAGGACCTTGTGCTTGCAAAGCAGGCGGCAGAACCGCTAAGCTAAATCCCCCACCCAAAACCGTTTTGTTTTGATAAATCAAATTTGTTTGTATTTTCTCTTGTTGCTTGGGATTTTGGCTTCATAGCTAAGAATCTTTTGCCAAATCCAAGGTCACAGAGATGTATCCCTATGTTTTCTTCTAAGAGTTTTATAGTTTTAGGACTTATATTTACTTCTTTGATCTATTTTGAGTTAATTTTTATATATGGTATAAGATAGGAAATCAGCTTTTGTTCTTTTGCATGTGAATATCCAGCTGTTCTAAAGGAAGTGTTTCTTGGCCACTTAATTCCCACCTCAGCCCTAAAAGAGTGGTACTTTATATACATGGAAACTGGGAGACAGAGCTGGGTATATACTTAGTGCCTCCCGGGGAGGAAGCAGCTGAGGTGAGACTCTGATCAGAAATATCTGGCTTTGTGACCCAGGCACAGGCAGCCCTCCCAAGAATTTTGTTTGAGGAATATATTTTAGATACGCTGTATCAATTTATGGGATGGGGGAGTGGTTACTTATGTATTTAGTTAGTTGTGGTACTGGGGGATAAACCCAGGGCCTTTGTGCTGAGCTATATCTCCATCCCTTTTTTATTTTTTACTTTGAGACAAGGTCTTAATAAGTCACTGAGTTGCCCAGGCTGGACTTGAACTTATGACCCTTCTACCTCAGTCTCCCAGAGTGCTGAGATTACAGGCATGTACCACCACATTTGGCTCAAAAGTTGAAATTTTTCATATAAAAATTTGACATAATTTCTACCTTGTCTCCAGAAATTGGCAGTTCTGGCCACATGGGCCTTGTATTTCCCTACAGTCAGTCATTTCAGAGACCCTGGTGCCCCCAGAACAGGGCACCTGCCTCCTCCTCACCTCTGGCTCCACTCTTCACAGGGTAAGGCCCCACGGTCTCTTCTTTTTGTCCACTTTGGTCACATGAGCCTGTAGGAAGAGGAGTTGCTTTGATTGGGAGGATTGTGAGCCCAACTTTTTATCTAAGTGTCAGTGGGTGTATTAGTTAGCTGTTGCTGTGTAACAAACTACCCTAAAACTTTGTGTCTTGACACAGGAGCCATTTCTTGAGCTCAGAATCCTGCAAATCACTGGTTCAGCTGGTTTCTGATGGTGTCATCATTGTCTGACCAGTTGTGAGCCAGCTGGGGTTGGCCTTGTTGATCATGCTGGGTGCTCTCACAGGTCCTTGCTCTACAGCCCACACCTGTGTGGTCACCCAGGAGCTATGTTCCCTCAGGACCCCAACCTGCCTGTTTTCTCCTTCCCCATTCTTCCTCTGCCCTCCCCAGAGGATGGATGGGGGTGGTCCAGCTGACGGAGGCCTCCATGCTCTTTTAGGAACCAGTGACCTTCTGGGATGTGGCCGTGGACTTCACCCAGGAGGAGTGGGGGCAGCTGGACCCTACACAGAGGACGCTGTACCGCGACGTGATGCTGGAGACCTTCGGGCACCTGCTCTCTGTGGGTGAGGCTTGCTTCCCCTGCTTCAGGGCTGGGCCATGGGGCCTGTGGTGTACAAACCCAACCTGAGTCTGTTCCAGTGGGCACATGTGCAGGAAGAGGGTCTGCCCTGCTTTGTCCAGTGCAAACCCTTTAACCTCATCTGGGCTGGGGCTGCTGGCTCCTCTCAGAGCAGCCTCCACCTCTGCTATCTCTCCATGTCCAGGTCCTGAGCTTCCTAAGCCCGATGTCATCTCCCAGCTGGAGCAAGGGGCTGAGTTCTGGGGTGGTGACCAAGGATGCCCCCAGAGCTGCTATTCAGGTGAGGGCCAAGAAGGTCACTAAAGATATGCTTAGTGGGAAGAGTGCTGTTGGGGATCCTTGTGCCACCCCCTTTACAAGGAGGCCTTGCAGGATATGGCAGAGTCCTACAGCCGGAAGACAGAGAGCAAAGCCAGCTGGGGTGAAGTGTGGCGGAATCCAGCCAGCAGCTTCCAGACCTCCCCAAGTAGTCACCCAGGACAAGCTCCACTCCCCAAGCAGTTCACCTCGAGTGCACACAAAGAATGTGGTACCGCAGGGTGCCTGGCAGTGTTGGAGTTTCCTGGGGCCTGGCCACAGAGGGGTGCACCATGTGGTGAGCTTAAACACGAGGTTGTAGTGGCCACTCCTACAGTTTGGCTGGAGAGCCCTCCCAAAGCCCACACTTCTCATGCAGACCTGAGCCAGGCTTGAAAGCAGGCCCCTGAGGATGGCCTCCTGCCCTGTGTGCACCTTCCTCTGAGCCTGGAGTACAGCCATCTCTGCTCCATCTGCCCCGTCATCCTCTGGATCGTTCCTCTCCCGTCAGCCTCCTCTGCTGCCTTTCCTGAGCCATAAACCTGCCCTTTATGTTCTCCATCTTGCTCTTGCATACTCAATTCTGCAAACCAGCTCCTGTACCTTCCTCTGTTCTTTTACCAGAAATCATTGTATTTAGCCATAGATACCTTACAGCCAGCTTAGAGCATCTCTGAAGATGAGGGAAGCATTTTTCTCCCTATTGCTAGGGCTAGCTTGGCATCTGAGAGATCCCAGTGTGCTTCTGGGATTATCCTGACCTTTCCTTGGGGTTGCAGTGTGACCACAGCAGCTCCAACCATTGCATTGGTGCTCCAGTCAGGAAAAAAAGGAGAAGGCAGAAAGATCATTGGTACTCGTATCTGTCCCCTTTTATCAGAGCTCCAGATATCATCCATTGAAGTCAGGATTGAGTTACTTCCACCTACCCAGACCCCAGTTGCTAGGGAAGATGGAAGGAGGGATCTAGATGGTCATAATTAAATTAGGAAAATCTGAATCCCTTCACTGGCATGCTGGTGCCCTGACCACGTTCTGGAATAGGTAGGATATGGCAGTGCCTGGCCCTTCCTCCCACTGTAACACTTCTGGTACCCTGGGGCCAGGCAAATCCTTCCTTTGGCTCTCACTGCTGTTGCCTCAGACTTGTTTGTCAGAAGCAAATCTTCACCGAACATGGACCTTAAATATTAAGCAAAATGTCTTGCTTGCATGGGTCAGGGGTATGGTGTGAAAATCACAACAGTGCTTTCAAAGTTTTACGTGCAGACCATTTTAAATGCTCTGGGAGCAGTAGGCGTTCAGGAAAGAGTGCTCGTGCGGGCGGACCCCTCTCAGCACACGCATGTGCTCTAGCCTTGAGCCTATCCTTGCTACACCCAGCCCTTTATTTTTTTATTTTGAGACAAGGTCCTACAAGTTGCCTGGTCTAGGCTGGAACTTGCAATCCTCCTGCCTCAGCCTCCAGTCATGGGAGGCAGGCCCATTTGCTCCAGCAATGTGCCACCATGCCTGGCTTGCCCCTTTATGTTAAAAATATATCTTCCTGCCGGGAATTTAGCTCAGTGGTTCCGCGCCTGCCTCGCAAGCACAAGGTCCCGAGTTCGATCCCTGGTACCAAAAATATATATATGTAATATATATATTTTCCATGTCATATTTTGTATTAGTTTCCTATTGTTCCTGTAACAAAGACTGCGATCTAGATTGCTTGAAAAAAACAGGTTTCTCAGTTATGGAAGTTAGAAGTTCAGGATGGTTCACAGGGCTGGTTCCTGTTGGCAGCTCCAGGGGTAGAATCCCTTTTCCTGCTTTTCTAGCCCCAGGAGGTCACCCATATCCCAGGCCCACAGGTCCTTCTCCATCACGGAAGCACATCACAACCATTTCCCTCATCCACCCCGTGCCCTGACTCCACTGTTCTACAGGGACCCTCTAAGGAATGATGTTGAGGGTCCTAGGTCAGCCTCCTGCCTTGAGATTCCTACCTTAATCTCATCTGCAGTGTCCTTTTTCTCAACCTCTTGTAAGGTTGCTTGGTCACTGTCCCAGGAATTAGGACTGTTGGCCAGTGCCAGGGCTGTGCCTCCCACCCTGTGCTGTCTTGCTCCCGCCCCTCCACCCCCCTCCCCTCCTGCTGTGGCGGTAGATGTGGGGCTCGTGGTTTGTAGGCTGTGACGCTACAGCCCAGCTGGGCTCAGGCCAGTCTCCCTGTTGGGCCTTCCTCTGCCTCCTTCCTGCCGGCCTCATCCACCTGGGCCTGGGTTCATGCAGGGTCACAGCTCGGCCAGTCTGCTGGCTCCTGAGCCTGGTCCTCACCACTAGGACACAGCAAGACCCCACTCAGCTGGGCCTGAGAAGGGAATGCCACTGCCAAGTGGAGATGGGGGAACCAAAAATATAGACTTGGTACACATAGGGCAGTCGGGGAAGCCTCTTTCAGGAGGTAGCATAGAGGCAGGCACATGTCTGGGGATGGGGTTCCAGGCAGAGGGGACAGTGCGCAAGGGGCTTGGAGAAGGAGCAGGAAGCAAAGCGAGCAGGAGGCTGAGCACAGGGCCTGGGTCGTTGTCAGAGGGGACACACAGTCAGTGGAGGAGTGACCACAACAGACTTGCCAGGAGATGAGTCCATTTGCTTCTTGCAACAACCTTATTAGGATAAAGTTCTTGCCCCATTCTCCTTATCCACATATTAGTTGATGGGCACTTGGGTTGTTTCCACTCTTCGGTGGTTAAGAAAAGTGCTGCTGTGAACCTTGATGTACAGGGTTTTATATATCCTGACCTGGCTTATACAACCCCTGATGGTACTGTGGACACAGCTGGATTTGGGGCTGGCACCCGGCAGACCTCTGCTCCTACAGTGGCTCCCCTGTGGCTAGGCTCTTGTTTTCTCAGTCCCCCCAGCTTTCCCTGAAGTGGAGATTTCTGAGCATCCACTAGCTGTCAGCAGATGAGCGCAGGCGTGTGTCCCTGGCGAGACCCACACAGCTGAGGGGGCTGGAGAGGACCAAGGGTGCCCAGCAGAGTCCACATCCTGATCCCCAAAGCCGGTGTGATCACAAGGACCACAGTCAGAAGGGGTACGTGACAGGAAGCAGAGGTCATTGAGAGACTGGTGGACGCCACACTGCTCTCCCTGGAGCTGCAGCAAAGGCCAGGGCACCGGGGGCTTCCTGGAGCTGGAGAAGGCAAGGAAGCCTCTCCCCTGACCCTCTAGGGGGCCGGCCCTGCTGATCTCTGGGTTTAGGACTTGTGCCTCCCAGAACCTGAGGTATGAGGCATACATTGCTTTAACACATTCATGACAGGGTTATAATTTGTATGTCTCGCTGCCGGGCAGCTTTGATTTGAATTTGATCATAGGATGTTATATAGCTAACCTGGGTATGCTCTTTTGTAATAGTATTAATATTTATATTTGGGCAGTAATTTTTCAAATTCAATCAATTAACTAGATTTGGCCCACTTACAGACTTTTTATTAATTTTATTAGTAAAAAGACTGATAAGAGTGATCAGACCCAGCCAGGCATAGTGACACATGCCTGTAGTCCCAGCACTCGGGAGCTGAGGCAAAAGGATCACCACGAGTTCAAGGCCAGCCTGAACTACATAGCGAGACAGTGTCTCAAAAAACAACAAAAAAAAGTGATCAGATTTATTTGTACCACCAGTCATGCATGTACCCCTAGTGGTCCAAGCTCAGGGGTGGAAATAAAGCACTCAAGTGTGGTGAGCAGCAGCGCCATCCAGGAAGCATATGCCCTCCCCATGGTGCCAGGGGCCAGTGCCTGGCCCAGGAGCAAGGCTGTGTTTAAGGACAGGGTGAATAGGGGCTTGCTGGGCAGGTGGGTAGCATCCTAGAGCAGTAACAGGACCAGTTCCTCTCCTTGTCTTCCCACAACGACTCAAAAGTCTTGGGTTTTCTTGCAGGCTGGGAGCCAGGCTTCCCCGAAGAGAAGCTGACTACTGGCACAGAAAGAGAAGAGTTCCCGAGGGTCACTGCCTGTCCTTCCCTGGCGGGGGTCACATGGCCGTGTGAGGGTGAGGGTGAGGGCCAGGCACACAGAAAGGACCAGAGTGACGGGTGGCAGCTGGCAGCTGGCCTTGAGGAGGGAGCAGCAGATCCCAGTCCAGGCTGTGAGAGGCTCAGACATGGGGAGAGCTGTGTGCTGAGCTCCAGCCCAAGTGCGTTCCTGAGTTCCAAGAGAGAGTATCCCTGTTCGGATGCACACGGGCCTGGCTCCGACCCTGAGCCGGACGTGGCCAGTGAGCCCCAAGGTAACCACAGGGCCTCCGGCCAGGCCGTCCTGGGCACAGAGCTGTCAAGGAGCCAGGGCCCTGACAAGCCGTACAAATGCACCGACTGCGGAAAGTCGTTCAACCACAACGCACACCTCACGGTGCACAAGAGGATCCACACAGGCGAGCGCCCGTACGTGTGCAAGGAGTGTGGGAAGGCGTTCAGCCAGAACTCGTCCCTCGTGCAGCACGAGCGCATTCACACAGGGGACAAGCCCTACAAGTGCGCGGAGTGCGGCAAGTCCTTCTGCCACAGCACGCACCTCACCGTGCACCGGCGCATCCACACCGGAGAGAAGCCCTACGCGTGCCAGGACTGCGGGAGGGCCTTCAACCAGAACTCATCCTTGGGCCGGCACCGGCGGACACACACTGGAGAGAAGCCCTACGCCTGCAGCGTGTGCGGGAAGGCCTTCTCACGCACCACCTGCCTCTTCCTGCACCTGCGCACGCACACGGAGGAGCGGCCCTATGAATGCAACCACTGTGGCAAGGGCTTCCGGCACAGCTCCTCGCTGGCCCAGCATCAGCGCAAGCACGCGGGGGAGCCGCCCTTCACCTGCCGCCCCATCTTTGAGCAGACAGCAGCCCTGCCCCGGCCCCAGTGGGCAGACGCTCTTGCCTGCACACCGCCTCTGAGCCAGGAGGAGAGGGCGCTGCGCAGCGACAGGCCCTTCAGATGCATCCAGTGTGGCAAGTGCTTCACCCAGAGCTCCCATCTTATCCGCCACCAGATCACTCACACCAGGGACCAGGAGCCATCCAGGCGGCCCCGGAGACGCCAGCAGCCCTGCAGCCGGGGCGCACAGCACACCCAGCACCCGCAGGGAGGGTCAGGACAGAGCAGGGATCAGGCCAGAGCAGCACAGCCAGCGAGCAGAGCCCTGGCCCTGTTTGACATCCACGAACTCATACAGGAGAAAAACCCTGTGCGCATCATTGGGGTGGAGGAGCCCATGGGCTCCACCGTGTTTGACCTCAGAGAGTCCACCTAGGAGAGAAGTGCTGGCTGTGACCTCTGAACCTCGGGTGCACAAACGTGGTAAGTTGCACAGTGTGTCTGTGGCAGGAGAGGCCGGGGGGCTACCGCTCGTGACCCCTAACTTCCTTTAGGAAATGGTAAGTGCCAGACCTTCAAGCCCAGGGTCCCTTAGCAACCTATATTTCAGGATATTCACTCCACCAGAGTGAGTTCACCAGTGCTAAAACCTGTCCCTAGCTGGGTGTTGGGGCATAATCCCAGCACCCAGGAGGCTGAGGCAGGTGGATCCAGAGGAGTTCAAGGCCACCCTGAACTACATAGTGAAAAAAAAAAAAAGAAACCTGCCGTATGTATAATGTAGAAAAGTAATATTGGTCCAACTTCGTACAGAGTGACAAAAGTCCAAGTTCTTGCTGATAGAATGATGCATATCAAGTCAGAAGGTCACTTCACTGCATCCTGTGTGGGGCTTCACATCTAGAACAGAGCATCACCTATTGCAGACTAGCATGGGGTGTGCTGCTGCCAGATGCACCGCAAGGGGTGTTCCTCTGCAGGGTATGATCTTCCCAAGTAACAGCAAAACAAAATGCTGTTGCATTTCTGGGAAATTTTGTGTAAGCTCCAAGCCTGCAACAATTAATTTGTGCTTACAGGTGAGACTGAAAAAAAAAGACCAAGTTAGACTGAGCTTGCTATCACGTATGTGTTATACACCTGCACACGTGACCCGCTGATGACCATTCAGCACCTCAGTTGTGGAGCACACATGGCCCCTGCCCACATTTCATCTGCATACCCCCAAATCATGTGGCAGGGGAGCCACCACAAAATTCCCAGCATTCTCTAGGCAGTCACAGCTGTGAAAACCACTACCTCAGAACAGCCAGTGTCGCTGCAGACCACAGGTTCTCAAACGTGGACGTCTGGTGATGTCTGGAGACATCTTTGGCCTTTGTGGCTTAAAAGGTGCCACTAGTGTCTTTGGGCAGAGGCCAAAGGTGCTGCCTAGGGTCCTGTAGTGCCCACGTGTAGTGCTGCAGCTCCTTGCTGAAGAATTATGCAGAGTGGCAGGGTGGAAAAACCCTCAACAAACCCAGTCCAGCTGTGTGACTGGCGTTTTCTAGACTTTAAATTGATTATGCCTCTACTGGTGTTCATGCAAGTGGAGTCTCGAGCTAGTTTACCCACCGTGTAGTACTTTTGAATCTTTACCATTTTGCAGCACTCATAACTGTTGTAAGAGCAGCACAGAGTCCACTTACTTTTTTAAATAACCTCTTAGCATTTGTGTGTGCGCTCTAAAGCAGGGATGATACATTTGCATAGTCTCTTCCACCCCTCCCTGTCCTTTCCTACCCTGGGTTGTTTTCACGTCAGTCTCAGACATTACTCCATCCACATTTCTGATTGTATTTCTTTTTTGTGTGTGGTTCCAGGGATTGCATTCAGGACCTTGTGCTTGCAAGGCAGGCGCACTGCCACTGAGCTAACGCTAATCCCTAGCCCCCGACCGTATTTCTGAAAGCCAGGACTCTGTATGCATTGCCGTGTTGCTCAAGGACAAGCTCTCCTGGTTGTCACACCACACCGAGGTGTGGCCTTGCCGAGCTGACACCAGCAAAGGTGGTTTGCAGCAGCAGTGGGTAACACAGCTGGGCCTGAGTTTCAATCAGACCAGCGCCCTGGGTTCATCGCTCCTGTTCTCCACCTGGACATCGCAGAAGAGGAGAAAAGTTCACGTTACTTAATGTCTGGTGAAACAGGAAAAACTGAATTCTGTGGAATCTCAAGTAGATATTTACGTTGTTATTATCATGTCTGAGCAGACGGCATCAACCGTCCAGTGCTCAAATGTTCCTGGCTGCTACCTCCTACATAGTCATCATCTAAACAAGATTCACGTTGTGCATCTGGGTGATGTCTCTCCTTTCTTAAATCTCTTTTAATCTCAGTTTCTTATTTAGTCTTTATCTGTTGAGAGAAAAAAGGAAACAAAAGCTAACTTTTATTCCCACCTGCCAATGCCCGTTATACTCTACTTGCTTTGGCGTGATGGACTTTTTTTTTAAAAATACTGGGGGTTGAACTCAGAGCCTTTGCAATGAGCTTTGTCCCCAGCCCTTTTTCACTTTTAATTTTGAGACCGGGTCTTTCTCAGCTGCCCAGCCTCTCAGAGTGCTGGGATAACGAGTGTTCTCCAAAGGGAAACAAAGGTTTCTGACCTTTGTCCATGCCGTTATTGATATGAAAGTACCATCCTGTATCAGATGTGATGTTTGCCAGTGTGGCGGCACACACCTATAATGCTAGCTACGCTAGAGGCTGAGGCAAGAACATTGCAACTTCAGGCCCACCTTGGGCAACTCAGCAACTTAGCAAGAACCTGTCTCGGAATTTTTTTAAAAGGTCCAGGGGATATAGCTTGGTGGCGGAGTGCTTGCCTATCTTAGCACTCCCTGGGTTCAATCCCAGCATTGCAAAAAATAAAAATTAAAAGTATGGTCCTTGGTGTCTCATAGCACAGGGGATATGAAAACCAAGGGCTTGGGCCAGGCATTTAGCTCAGTGGCACCACACCTGCCTTGCAAGAGCAAGGTCCTGAGTTTGATCCCTGCTACCAAAACAACAACAAAAAAGCCAAGGACTTAAACCTACTTAAATTTTTTTTCTTAGTACATGGTCACAGTGCATGACATTTGCTTTTGTTTTAGGGGGTAGGTACATGTGCTCAATCCATTTTAATTCTGTTTACTTTTCTCCCCTCTTCCTCTGGCTCTGGATCCCCGTCCTATCTGCAAAAGGCTGACCTCTCTTAAACCTACTTTTTATCTAAAATGAAGCGAATTGTGGGCCTGTGGCAGTAGGACACCCTGAGTTGGACAGAGCAGTTCCCATTGGTGCCCAGCTTTAATCAGGTTCCTCTTCCGTTTGCTTTTCCCTCTGCAGTTGCATTCTAGTGATGTTAAACTCACCAGCAGCACTCATCAGAACCTGGAAAGAAGGAAGACAGAGTGTGACACAACTCAGCATGTAAAACAACGGTCCCTGAACCTTAACTGCAGGAGGTGCTTTGGATTGAGCAGGCGGAGAGTTGGAAGAATGGTCATCCCGGAGTATCCTGGGGCACCTCTTGGCCCAGGGTTGGATGGTTGAGCCTGCCATGCACTGCCACCATGGCTCGCTGGGCCCTCCCGTTCTTTGGATGCTGGAGTGCCACCGGGGTACACCAGGCTTCCAGGGTGCCGTGGTTCCTTCCACCTTTTGCTTCATCTCTGTAGAGGCCCTGTGGGACCTTACCAAGCCCTGGGCTTGCTTGTCTTGTGTTTCCCTTCCCAGGTCACCTTTTTACAGTGACTGCATCATTCCTTGACCTGTGCCCTTTGCTGCTTCATCTTGGGAGATAACTTTCCCTTTACATGAAAAGGAGCACCTTCTGGCGCACTTTGCCCATGGTGGTTATGTGAGAAGTATCATTCCACAGATGAGGAAAAGTAAGCAGAAGACAAAAGTAACCTGCCCAAAGTTACACAGACAGGAAGTAACTGAGAGAATTTGATGCCAGTGCCCAGTAACAGTGGATGAAACTAAGCTTTGTTCCAAGGCTGACTTTTCAGTGGCTTTGCCATATCAGAACCAGTGTTTTCTCCAGCTCTCTTAGGTTTTCCCTCATGATCACAGCTAAGCTGGAGCTGTAATCAAGACAGGAAGCAGCCAGGAAACATCTTGATGATGTTCCAAACAAAAGGCCCTCGGGGGAGCTAGTAGTGCATACTCAGGTAGACCTGTTGGCCAAGAGTGAGCTACCCTAACAATAATGAGCCTTGCAAAGGTGACATCTAGCGTTTCTCACCTCTGTGGTGGGCACAGGGAAGAGACAAAGTTCCGGGAAGTGGGTGGTACGTAAGCAGATAGCAGCTCCTGTAGCTTTCTCCTCCAGCTCTTAGAAGACCCTCCTGGGCTCCCATGTGCCCCTCAGCTCCCCCACCTCTGTCGCCACCTTCACAGGGTCCACCCTTGCCGTGGCTATCTGTGGCCACTTCAGCTTCCCCTCTTCCTCTGCACCATGAAGCATGCCAGGCTTCTGTAGTTCCCCATCCTCTCCATCTCTTCAGGGGCTTTGGTGGTCCTGGCAACCCTCTTCCCCTGGGGTTCCCAGGTGTCTTCCATTTCCCAGTTGTGTTGCTTACCCCAACACTGAGTCTCTGGTGCCTCTGAGTTCTGAGCTTCAGGTCCCAACAGCAGCTGTCTACTGAGCAGCTGCCCTCAAATGAGCCATAAGGTCCCTGAAAACTGCCATTTTCCCACCCAGACAAGTCCCCCTCCCCATCCCTTCCATGGGGGCTGTTACTTCCTGCCCTCCATTGTTGAAGCTAGAAAATAAACCACCTTTGACCCCTCACTCTACTCCCACCAAGGGTCCAGTTTCTTCTACCCTGTGAACATCTTGAGTCTGTCCTCCATCCCCACTCCCACTCCCCTGAGAGGAAGATGATAGGCAAGCAGGTAGGACAGCCTGGTGCCAGATGCCTCTCCAGACCATTCCTCTGCATTGTCCCATCGGGATAGGGGTGAGATTGGGGTACCCAGGGAGCAGTAGTGACGTCATGATTCCAGACAGCTCTGGAAGCCAGGCCTGTGATTGCCTTGTTCCCTTCACCTTGACCCCCAGTTGGCAGGTCCTGCAGGGCTCTTGTTTGGACACTTCTGAGTGGACACTGGGAGGGCTGAAGTCCCAGCAGCCCCGCTGGGTCAGATGGGGACAGACGAGAAGGAACAAACACTGGAGATCTGCGTGGTGTTGTTTCAGTTCAGCTCATGTTCAGGCATGGTTTTCCACTGAACTTGTAGATGTTTTGGAATAGTCAGAAACTCCTCAGGGGAAACTACTGTGTACTAGGGGAAATCATGGTTTTACCTGTTTGTAAAGTAACAAGTTCTTAGTAGCCAAAACTTGGAAAATGCACAAAAATTCAAAAAAATATGAAAACTCATTTGAAATTTAATTAATGCTTTCACCTTACAGAGATAGTAATTACCACTTACATTTTGCTAATTTTTCCTTGCAATTTTTAGACGTATATACACATATACAGAGTGTACATTACATCTTAAGCATATATATGTGTATATAGTTATCTTGTGTTTAGAAATTTGGGGTCGTTTCTCATTCTCTTGTAACCCATGTTTTTTACTATATTTTGAGCATTTTACATGACAATGAATTTCATATAGCTTTTAAAACTAGCTTTCAGGAGGATTCTAACAATGCACCCGCCCTTCACCCAGAGTTTTAACAGCTTCGAGCTTTCTCAAAGGGGTGAAAACGTTTCCTGTGCATTTTCAGTGGGAGTGAATTGATACAACTTGTGTGGACTGAGACTTAGTCACTGTTTAAAGTACAAATACAGAAAGGTTTTGTTACAGAAAACCTGCTGGGGATGAATCTTACAGACATATTTGTATATGTGCAAACTGGTTGTATATAGTTTTCATTATACTATTGATCTTAAAAGTAAAACATTTGGAAACAACCACTGTATTCACCATGGAGAACTGGCTAAGTAATTTATGGTGGAATAGATACCACAGCCTTAAAAATGGAGACTATCCTTACATACTAATATGGGAAAGACCTCCAGGATCCCTTAAGTGAAAACAAGCAAGGTATAAAACTGTGTTTCCATTTGTGTAAAGAGGAAATGTATACATATACCCATGCAGTCTCTGAAAGAGTAAAAAGCAAACAGTTATACTGGTTGCCCTTGGGAAAGAAAGGGCGGACAGAGAGGAGGAATATTTTCACTCTATATCTTTTTATATTTTTGAAATTTTGAAACATGTAAAACATTACCAGTTCAAAGAATAAATCTAACAAAAACCTCAACTCTTTCCAGTTAAAGTAAGTTTTATAATTCGTGGTGCTGTTTGTTCTCTGCCTTCCCCCACCAGCATGTCCACATCATCCAGGACTCCTGGGTGACTGAGTCACCTGACCTGTGTGTGTGTGTGTGTGTGTGTGTGTGTTCAGCCAACAGTGCCAACGGAGCTTAAAACAGCTTCAACTTGATGATATCAAAGGAGAATAGTGGTTGGAAGGCACACATAAATGTCTACATTAGCTCATTTTAAATTCGCTCTGTCATGCCATATTATGAGAGTCCTCAACACAAGCAGTTATCTCTGTACCCCCTCAGATTCAGGTTGTTCCTGCCAAGGACAACTGGAAGAAAGTGTGCATCCATTCTGAAATGCAGCCTCCTGTGCGTTTCTTGTGAGGAGAACCAACATGGACATCTTCCGGAACACTGTCCATCGTGGCAGCCACTGTTCACCTATAACGATTTAGCTATGAATTTAAACACAAAATTCAGTGCATCACTCACTAGCCACCTTTCAGCTTTTCACTAGTTTCATTTTCATTGTCGCAGAAAGTTCTGTTGGATACTACTGATACAAACTGAGCGGCTGAGATGACTTGTTAAATTTACCCTTGTGACATCGGGAATCACTCCAGATCACACAGGCCTGCATGTGGATGAAGTTTTCAAGTGTCACAGTTATATCAAGGACATCCCTCACCTAGCTAAGTTGGTTTGCATCACCACCAGTGGGGACAGGATCTACCCATTATTTTTAGGCAGTCATTAAGGACATACAGAAAAAACAACAATTGGTCAATTTCCAACTAAGTGGGAGGTAAACGATAAATTCACACAGTGGGGGGTGGCAGAGTGCTCAGTGGTAAAACCCTTGTGCAAGGCCCTGGGTTCAGTATCTGTCATCAGAATAATACAATGATGCATACAATAGAGACATTTTTTAAATAGTTGTCCAAAAGTGTTTAATGTAGTGGAGAAATATTCAGGGTCAGTGGGAACTACATTTGCCAGGCTGGTCTCAAACTAGGCTCAAGTGATCCACCCATCCCCAACTGCAGTGCAAGCAACGCAGTACACAGATGGGGTGCAGAGGGAGTCGGCCTGGGGTCTCGGCATGCACGGGAGGAGGGATGTCCTGCATCTGACTCCGCCGTGCACGTGGGAGGCTCCAGGTGTGGGCCGAGTGTGACACTGCCCTATAGGGTGGGGACCCAAGCTTGTGCCATCCCCTATAAGCACACCAGGGTGGAGGGTGTCCTGCATGTGTAACGCCATCTGTGTGCCAGGTGTCACCTCCGGTGTGAGTGTGCCCTACACCCCTGGGCTGCTCCCCAGTCCCACCTGCCCCAGTCCCTGACAGCCACCAACTTCCTTTCTATCTCCAGATTTTCTCCTCTGGGCTCATCATATAAATGGAGATGCACAATTTGTGCTTTCTGTCGTTTTTCACTGAGCATGTTTTCCGAGTCCATCCATGCTGTAGCAGGTGTCCGTTCTTTGTTCCTTCTCTGGCTGGAAATACCCAGTTGGATGGATATGCCATAGTTTGACTCCTGCATTGGTTAATGGACATTTGGGTTGTTTCCATCTCCTCTGATGCTACAAACAATGCTGCTGTGGACATGGGTATTTTCCAGGGTCAGGGGCACTGGGGCTGTGGGCAGCATGACCTGGCGTTTGTTGTGCACACCCGTGACCATACACCAGAAGGGTTCACCTCCATTGTCCCAGCCCTTCCAGACCCAAAGCCCCACTGCTGCTAGAGGTGGAGGCAGTGCTCCAGAGACAGGACCCTGTCCCTGCCAGTCACAGCAGCACCCTGGGCCTCTGCTCAGGACAGACCACAGCCCCCGGCCTGCAGCCGCAGGACAGCAGTCGGGACAGACTCCAAGGTGCCAGGTGAGGCAGACGGCGGGGTGGCAGTCACAGTGGGGCAGGAGGCAAGCACAAGACTAGATCCAAACAGCCTGCTCCTGCCCCTTTTTCCCACTGCCCTGCACTCCTGCCCTGGCCTAGCCCACCACCTCCTCAGCATTCTGCCTTCTATGCCTCCTGCGTCACTCTCCACACAACAGGAGGGCGAGATGGGGCATCCGGACCCTGCCCAGGGAGCCCACTCACCTTTAAGCATCTGTCACTGCCCAGCTGTCAGGGCACAGTTGGCATACTGTCCCTGTAAGTCACCAGAGCTGGGCACCTGCTGTCCCAGCTACTCAGGAGACTGAGGCAGGAGGGTTACTTGAGCCCTGGAGTTTGAGGCCAGTCTGAGTAACACAATGAGACCCCATCTGTAAATAAACAAATCACCAGATAACAAATGTTTCCAGCTTTGCAGGGCTAGATAATACAAAGGATATCACATCATTTATCTAACAAAACACATCCACACATCTTTGATAAAATGCAAAATTTTATTGATGGATTATGAAATTTTAGTTTTGTATAACTAGTTTTGTTTCCTCTCCAAGCTCTTAAAAAATGTAAAAATCAGCGAGGTGTGGTGGCACACACCTGTCATCCCAGCACACAGGAGGCTGAGGCAGAAGGGTCAGCACAAGCTCAAGGCCAGCCTGCCCTACATAGTGAGTGTAAGGCCAGCCTGTACTCCATTGCAAAACCTTGTTTCAAAAAAAAAAAAAATGTTAAAAGCACTTTTAACTCACAGGCCACACAAAAGCAGGCAGCATGGGAGTTTGAAACCATCCAAATTCCTAATTTGAAAAACCATCCTTTTTTTTTTTGGTACCAGGAATCAAACTCAGGGCCTCAAGTTTGCCATGAAGGCACTGACTGCACCACTAAGTTACATCCCTGGCCCAGAACCATCCAAATTCCTTCCCAGACGTCCAGGCCTTTTGAGACCTGATTTCTGCATTTCTCGGACTCACCTACAGCTCTCTTTCTACCCTCATGTCTGCTGCTGGCCACTCAGAAGCTCAGCTGTCATCTCAGAGGCCCTCCCCAGCCACTGATGCCCAGATAGGTGCTGCCTGCACCCATTTTATGTGCTTAGCACAATGGAAGATACAGGTTCTCACTCATCATAGGCTGTGAGTTTCCTGATGCGGTGCCAGCCCAAGGAGCATTCGTTAATGAATGAACAAACAGCCCTCCATAAAGACGCATTTTAGAAATACAAACTGAGACTCCCCAAGGCAGATGGGCCAGCCAGGATCCCAGCTGGGAGTGATGAAGGCAGGTTTGGGCCTAGACCTGACATCCACCACACTTCCTGTCCCCAGCCCAGGAGCAAGATGGGACAGAGGTGGGGTTGGGAGAATCAGCCCCCAGGAGTCTTCCCCCGACCCTGGCCCCCATAGGAAGAGGCAAAGGGCTCATAGCCACATCACCCCTTCCCTCCTAGGAGTCAGGAACTGAATTCAGAATAACTGGTTTTACCAACCCGGTGTCAGACACTGTCCCTACAGAAACATCCTGAAGGCTGACAGTGTGGAGCTTAGGCGTCGGACTATTACAGGGCACACAATTCACTCTGAGGAAGCTCAGGAACAGGCAGAACTGGGAAGCTGCAGCGATGTCAGTCAGCAGTAGCCGGGCACCATCCCCGGAAGCGGTGTGGGGAGCTGTCCGCGGTGCTGAAATATCCTCCTGAGCTGTCCCACACAGCAGCTGCAGTTAATTAAATTTTTAAAAGTACAGCTGGGGATTTAGCTCAGTGACAACGTGCCTGCCTCGCAAGCACAAGTTCCTGAGTTCAATCCCCGGTACCAAAAAAATTAAAAAGTACAGGAGTTGAAGCATAGCTCGGTGGTTGGACACATTTTAGCATGTGCAAAGCCCTGGGTTCAATCCCCAGCACAAGAAAAATGAAATTACAGTAGCAGTTGCAGCTCGACAGCAATGTCTCTAGTGCTCAGGAGCTACTGGGCTGCTGGCACCATTCCAGATCGCAGCTGCCATCTCAGGACATTGTAGAGCCCACTCTAAATGGGATTAATGGCCCTCTGCATTTATTGGATGGAGCTGAAGACTCAGACCTCTCTAAAAAAAAATTTCTGATGTCACAGAGGTCCAAATACCTGCCTCCCAGTAACTGGCACCACAGCATTTGATTTACTTACTCTGCTGGATTCCCAGTCTGCAAGCAGGGCGATCGAGTCCCTTTCTCTTGGGTGCTGGAGGAGGCACGAAAGGCCCCTAGGAAACCTGAGCTGATGCTGTCACTCAGAGCTGCTCCCCATCCCTGCTAGCACTGCCTGGACTTGCTGTTCCTCAGCCCACTCTGCCCACATTAGGGGACTCGACAAGAAACTAGGGGAGCACAGCCCTGTGTCTACCCACAGAGACCCAGCCTGGTCATCCTGTTGGAGCAGCTTCATCCCAGAGGCAAAATCGGAAGCCTCAGACTCAAATCAAGAAACCACTTCCTGCAGAGCCCCAAGCCCCTTGCCCTGCCTGGAGCTGGGAGGGAAGACGTGGAGGTGGAGGTGCCTTAGGGACACTATGAGGTGTTTGTTGTTCTGTTTGACAAAAGCTTTGCCTGGGCAGGTGCCATGCTATCCTGTTATCAAGGCTGAGCTGGGCCTGACCACCAGTGGGCCTGGAAGTCTTGGGCTTCCTGCTACAAGCTGCCTTCTCCCTGAGCAGCCAGATCCACAGCAGCTGTCTGGATACCCACAGCAGTGCCCAGTGGGGGCATCCCACTCCCAGACTAATTCCAGGGGCTGTGGGTCACCCCACCACTGTCCACATGGGTGCCTTAATGGGGTACCAGCCACCCCATCCATCCACTTGAGCACTGCTGTCTTCATGGTGGCTGGAGGTCTAGTCCTGGGTAGGTGGTACTGGGGGAATTTGCTTCCCAGAGATGCTCAGTGCCTTCATTTTCCTTCCATAAAATGGTCTTGTTTCTTTGTGTTGTTGTTTTTTTTGGTACCGGTGATCGAACTCGAGTCCTTCCGCTTGTGAGGCAGAGGGCGAAAATGGTCTTGTTTCAGTCCTTTGCTCAGGGGCAGAGAACTGTGAGGTACCCGGGACACACTTG